AGAAAATTTGGGACACTACTGAGTTACATGACGTTACAGTACAAGTTCTTATATGTCCTGAGTCTTAATTGACCTTGGAAGGCTAGGGCCAAAATGTTGGCTTTCCTTGTGGCCCTCCTTTTTCTCTAGTTTTGGTCTGCAAACTTAGATTGTTAACCCTCCAGAAGAGAAGCTTATTGTTATTACCATACAACCTAGGCTGTTGAGCTTAACCTCTCTGTCTGAATATCAAACATCTCAGGCATAACATGGAACGGGTATTTTTTTTTATCAAGTATTGATATGCTGAACTTTAAGTCCCTATAGAATATGATGAAAAAACATTAAAAAATTAAAATATATTTTGAAAATAGGTATAAAGAATTATATAATTCTTATGCTTACAAGTAAGTCCAGAAATCTAACCATATACAACCTTGTAGCAGGACAGTCCTGCAACATTCCTTTTCCTGTCTCCTGCCTTCATTCCCCACCCCCTTCTTTTTGAACAATCATCTACCCAAGAGACAGCACGGCAGCTACTGGCATGTCATAACAAGCAGCCCGTATTCAGAAGACCAGAATGACAGGCACTCTAAGCATGAACCTACTATTACAAATTGCCATCTTCAGTGCAGTTGCTTAGTTCACATGTGTCAGTACATATAGTTAGTCAGGGTGAGAATCTTTCCAATTAACTGCTAGATTCAAAAATCTTCTGATGATTCTCAGGATCATTCTCAAGATCAACCCTTACTCATCTTCTACATATAAGTGTATGGCTTGCCACTGTCATATTTCCTAGCTCTTCTCCTTTCCCTTTCTTACTTAGTCCTCAAGTTCTTGCTTTCCTTTTAGTTGCATAATACCTTTCTATTTGTATTTCTTTTTTTGAGTTCTTATACTAGAGAAACTACGATATTTACTCATGTGTGTCTGGTTTATTTCATTTATGAGTATATCTTCAAGTCTGCCTCAGCTTCTTGGGTGTTCGGATTATAGAAGTGGGTCACCATGTCTGCCTCATGCCACACAAGGTGGCCCTGCATGTGGTATTGGGGATCTAACTGTGGTCTTTCCTCTTGCTAGGCAGGTGCTGAGACCGCTGAGCTATCTCCCCAGCCCTCACACCTGTTATTTATTTATTTATTTATTTATATTCATTTATTTTTTGGCAGAACCGGGGATTGAACTCAGGCCCCCTGCACTTGCCAGGGAAGTGCTTATTCCACTGAGCCATCTCCCCGGACCCTCACA